GTAGCTATTTGCCTAGTAGTAAGGCCAGGAGCTCCTAGTAGCGATGCCCTTTGCTCCGTAGCGATGCCATTTGCTCCTAGTAGCTATTTGCTCCTCGTAGTAAGGCCAGGAGCCCCTAGTAGCGATTCCCTTTGCTCCGTTCGTAGTGTCCTTTGCTGCCAGGATCCCACCTTTGCGAAGGACATCGGTCATTTTATCGTCGGCGTTTGGTCCTCCGTGGGATCCACTCATTTTCGTGCACAGGATTTGTCCCTCTTCAACGAGGACTTTCGGAGGCGCGCAGGTTCTTAAGCTTCGTCGGATGATTTTGTGAGCCATGTTTTTACTAGGAACAAGAGCGTTACTACTACTAGCAAGAAGCTACTAGGTTGGAGGCCATCGCTACTAGGGTGGAGGCCATCACGAGTAGTAACAAGAAGCTGAAGAAAAAAGGAGCTCAAACAAGCCCACACGAGCTGTCCAGCATTCGTGAGCATTAGGACAATCGGTCCAAATAGATCGAAACATGTCAAAAACCAGGTTGGGGGCCATCGCTCTTAGGTTAGAGGCCATCGTAAAGTAATTGATTGCAGTTTTGGCCAGGCACCTGGGAGGAGTTTTAGACCTTGCAGGCCTCACGCAGCTGGAGCGCTATGAGGCACAAAACGGATACATCTCCGAACATGAGAGGTCAGAAAGCTCGAAAAAAGAAGGCCAGGGTTTCTTTGTAGAAAGGAGAAGAAGAATTTTGTTTGTTTCTACCAGTAAGGTATTCAATTCCATGACCCGAGGTGAGCATAGTCGGTTCTTTTCTTCAGCTGGGGACGACAGAGCCTTTTGCTTTGTGTGTGTGTGCACAAGTGGTTGCAAACCTTAGAAGCCTTAACCCACTGCAGACACCCATGAGGGGAGCTGCGGGAATCTCTAGGGAGGTGAGGTGATTGTCATTTTCTTAGCGGCCTTAGCGCATGGCTTTGCATTTTGGGGTGCATGTTGTTTGTCGAAATGCGGGTCACTATGAGTGCATCCCCATCCTCCGCTCGGGCTGCCATCAGGCAACTTCACCGTAGCCCGAGGCTTCCAACCACGATTAACTTAATAGGCTTTACCGAGCCGCCATTGCTTTACTCAGGATTTTAAACTACAAAACCAGCGTCAACCTTGGAAGTCTAGGGATAGACTTACTTCCTGCACGTGTCACACCTGCCAGAATCAATGCTCTCTACCTGTGTCATGCGCCACGTTCCACGTGAAAAGCAGGTTCTCCTGGATCATTTGCATGAAGACCGGGCAGATGATTGGCCGGGTTCCCCGGAGGGTTCGTCCCTCATCATCTCCACGCTTACATGGGTGTGTATTAGAATACAGAGACTTCCAAGAAAAGACACCCTTGGATGGAACATAGGCCACAACCCATTGATAGAAAAATTCTCTCTTAAAATATATACCTTGGAAGAGGCTTCGTGTTTTGATGCAGTTGTGAAAAATTGGCAAGTCACTCGTCGTTGCAGTTCTTGAGTTGGCCTGAAGGAGTGATTTGGAGCGAACGTTGATGGCTAAGGAAAAGCTGGTGGTACATCTCTGGGATCACATGCCATATGATCCAAAGCTATGTGCACTGTGAAGAGGCCGAGCGGCTTGTGGAGAACGATGTAAGCAGCATCAACCGTTCAACACGTGTGAAGGGAACGGGAACGTGTGTGTTTCCTTTTGACCTTCAGACCTTTCTTTCCCTTCCGTTTGATGCAGATCAGGTTACTCAACGTGACACATCTTCAGACTCGTCAGCTACGTTGAAGGTTTTGGCCCGTTTTTCCTGCGCAAACCTGGCGCAGGCACAGGACCGTGCTTGGCGTGCGCACTGCAGATGGTGCGCACGGCAGCGATGCGAAAGGGCTCTGGCCGTTTTGGTCGTCTCAAGTTGCACTAAAGCTTTCAAAACGAAGAGTCTTACATTCGATGTTTGAACTCCCAACATGTGTCAATGTTTGAACCCGGCTCTTCAGTGGATTTGTATCGATTTGTTACTCCTTATAACACTTGCTGGGTTGGCTTCCCCTACCTGCGAAAGCAGTTACACATGTCGGGGTCAAAAAGAATGTCCAAGGCGAAGTGCTCACTAGTATCCTATTCAATACTTCAGTGTGATGCTTGTCGTGCTTGTGTGATATGCACATACGTCACAGTAGAGTTCAATGAATACATTTAGAAAGGCATATGTTTCTTTGGAAATGATGCATCTAGCTCATTGTGGGTCTCGTCGTTTGAGGGTGTCGGATGATCTCCTTCGGTCTATGAGAGTGAGTTGATGTTGCGATTTGATGCGATTCCTCATTTCAATCAGCACCAGTTTCGACGGCCTCTTTTTTGCTTATATAAACGCTTTTGTGGATTCTGCACAGGGCACAGGGGCATGAATCGCCTAATGATGTGTTGATTGCTGTTTTTTGGAAGATGCAAAGAGCGCCCTTCGAACACCAATCGCCACCTGACTCTTTTGCTAGGTCGAGCCAATCCTGGAAGTTCGATGAGTTGGAGAACTGGGACCGTGTCGAGAAGGCGTCTGTTAAAACAGCCCACCCTTACGTGCCTTAAGCCGACTAGTTCGCTACTAGGAGCTCCTGGCATCGCTACAAGGACATCGCTTCCCCTCCAAACTTAATGAAGTAGCGGCCGTCTCTCAATTCAGCGGGCGACTAGTTTGCTACGAGTAGGGCACAGGACGCTCCGGGCGAACGGACGGGAGCCTAGTAGCGTTGCTCTCTGCTCTGCCCTCAAACCTAGCGATAGCCTAGTACCTTCTTGTAGCTTCTTGTTCCTAGATTTGGGAGGGAAACGAAACATATCTTTTGTCAGGACATCGATATCGGATCACGGTTTGGCCACGATGTTCAGACCAAGCAGTGACCGACTTAGGGCAAAGAGAATGCCAGCACGGTTGGCAATCCAAACACTTGGTGAAAAAAAACAGTGTTTCTTAAAACCTAAAAGACCTCTCTTTCTTTTCCTCCTTCCTTTCCAAAACCTTCATTTGGGTCGGCCCTTTCCACCGTTTTCATCCGCTGGACTCGGCAGGCGATGAATGCACCACGCCTACCGACCTTGCGCGCGAAGCTCGGTTCGATCCGGATGGGACGAATAGGCCACCGCCCTCCATGTGACTGGTAGATACTCCTTTCTTGATATGTCTGAGCTAGGTTTTTGTTGGCCTACTTGCTAGTAGGTTCTTTTCCTTTCAGGTCTTTCGATCCAAAAAGGAATTTGTTGGACAACTAACCCTTCTTGCAAGCCTGCATGGACAGTCCCAAAACCAAGTGGAGCAAAAATGTTGCTACTAGTAGCGTTCTTGCTCCTAGTAGTAAGGCCAGGAGCCCCGTTCGTAGCGTCCTTGTTCCGTTCGTAGCGATGCCCTTTGCTACGAACGTAGCTTCTTGTTACTCGTGCCAAATTCGCCTCGATGCTGGAGGTTCACTCATCAGGTTGGTGCAGAATGATAATCCAGAGATGCAGGCCCGGACTGGGCGGCGTTGCGCGTGGTCCGGGAAGCGAAAAGACGGCCTCACACCTGTACAGAACAGAAGACGATTCAGAAACTGTGAGGGGTGGCGTGGGGATCTAATGAAATGTTTGTGTTGATGTAGCGTGGACATATTGGTATTTCACAGATTTTCACAGACCCGATTCAGAAACTATCCAATTCAGACCCGTGCTAGTTCCGAATCCTAGTTTCCGAATCCACGCCGTGCTTAGTTTCCGCATCCGTGGCCACCCTAGTTTCCAAATCCGCCGTTGACCCACCTCTACAAGCGTTTAGGATGAGTTTCCTCGAGAAGCATAAAGGTGAATATGGTGAAGATCTCAAGTATTTGCCTGTCTAATTCAGAGAGCATTCAACTTCAGAGCATGCACATGACACTTCTCCAAAGAAAGTTGAAATTCGTAGCTAGCAGCTCTTCAGCTTCGAGGGATATGTCCACCTCCTGGGGCCCACCGAACTTCTTCCTCTTCTTCTGTGGCCCACCGAACCCAGAAGTGGGACAGCTGACTAAATGTGTGTCTTCATCTGCAACTGGGCTGGAGAGAAAGCCAAACATCAAAAATTTAAGAAACAAATAGCAATGGCCTCCAACCTAATAGCGAACTACTGTAGAGTCGATCCTTGCACACCAAGAGAATTTACGACTTAACAATTTCGGGATGATTTTTTCCAGCCACAGCCACAAAGAGCTGATGGAACTGCTGCTTTTGTGAAAAGCCACCGTGCTATCTCACCAAGCACGAATACGCACCATGTTGGATGGTCAGAACCGAGTGTCGACCCCGCAACCGAGTGTCAAGACAGGTCGACCAGTCGACCGTCACCTCGGTCAACCGAGTCTAAGCTGGGCCCTCCCAGCTTCGACAGGTTCGCGAAAATCTTTGGACCTTCCGGCTCCCACGACCTGCGACGAGTGCGACGAGGGCTACGCTGTGAGTGACGTTTTGGCACCGTGAAACCGACTGCGACGTTTCAACGAAGAGCCGTTGGGAGCTTTTGGGGACGAAGCGAAGGAGCCGTTTCTGCTTCAGGGGACATGCGAGCAGACGGACGTAGCAGACGCGCAGAAAAGCCGGTGCGAAGTGGCGCGTCGAGTGAACACAGGTTCGTTGGGAGACGGATTTCCTGGATGGACCCTGGATGGACCCCATTTCGGTGAGAAAAAAAGCCGCGAGCTGAATCGTCTCAACGGGTTAAAAAATGCACAAGTGCCTTCAGACATGTGACCTAAGGAGGTTTCTAGGCTCACCCAAGGATGACAAGTCTGCAGCTGTCGTTTTCTGCGAAAAGATCGACATTACACCAACGAGGGCGATGTCAGGAGCCCCGTTCGTAGCGTCCGAACGCTCCTAGTAGTATGGCCAGGAACCCCTAGTAGCTTCTTGTTAGCAAGGAGAGTAAAGGAAGTTCTGTCTTGAGATCCACGGCAGGTGCGATCCCCAAACCAATCCACTTCAATGCTGTCCTTGCCTGTTTGTTTCAGGACCTCATGTGGATGCGGGGTGTCAAGTACTTCGATGTACCGTTTGGACTGGTCGAGGCCAGCTGTTCACTTTCGAAGCGAAGCGAAGCGACATGTTTCGATGCTTCTGAAGCGGCCTCCAACCTACTAGCAACTAGTAGCTTATTGTTTCTACTAGCTTCTTGTTACTACTAGTAAGGCACTTGTTACTAGAAGCGATGCACTTGTTCGTAGTAGCTTATTGTTTCTCCTAATCGCAGTGGATAAATCCAAGTTACGAAGTCATACCCCAGTCGTGTGCAACCAATAGGTATATGGTACGTCGCATCAACCTTGTGTTCTTCCCGGACATCGTTGCTTCCGAGCGTCAAAAAAACTCTTGCAGCTTCTTTACTCCCCGGGTTTTGCTTGAATGATGAAATCTTGTTCCCGAACTGCATGAATCCTCTTTCGGTGATGTTTCTCTATGCTTTTGACCTTCCAAACTCAGCAGTTGCCACGTGGCCGCTTCGGATCATTGGCAGACCATCAAAGATGAAAAGCTGGTGACCGTGACGGGCGCGACGGAGTTGAGGGTCACCATCACTTGCAAGGCCATTTCCGTGTGTCCACGTCACGGCGCACGTCAAGTCAAAATCCGCAGTTGGCTTGGTTGATCTGACGATTGTTCTCAGGAGTCTCAAATGTCGGACCATGGTCACTTTCCCCTAGTATAGCTTCTTGTTCCTATAGTAGTATGGCCAGGAGCCCCGTTCGTAGCGTCCGAACGCTCCTAGTAGTATGGCCAGGAGACCCGTTCGTAGCTTCTTGTTTCTACTGTAACCAACAAAATGGATCTCGAAATGTAACCCCCGCTGCTCATAAGGTCCTCCCTTGTGAAGAGCAACAGTTGTTGCTACTCACAAATTTTGCACCTTTAACGCGCCGTTTTGCTCTTACGGGCACTGGCCCTGGCAGGACCTACGGTGTTTGATCTTCCTTCTGAAATCGGAGCAGGACGCTGCTCCGAACACTCGCGCTGTTGTCGAGTGAGCGGCCGTTTTGGACACCTGGCAGGAGGCGCGGCTCTTGCTGGAAAGCGTCAGCAGCTTCAGTACCCCGGGGTTGCTTGGGCCAAACACCAAAGACGAATAGCAGCACCAACAGTGAGGCACGAGACAGAGTGTGTATGTGGCTCAGGAATCCTGCAATGCTCTTTGCCTTCAAGCACTACGATGCGCTGCGGAAAGAGAATCTTCTTCAGGACTACGATGCGTTTGCTGACACATTCTTCAAGAAACAGGAGCTTCCCTATGTCTTGTGAGCCAAATCAAGACCAGCCTTTGGTCGCTGAGAAACCAGGGAGGAAAGACAAAGTCTAAAAGCGAGCAAAGGAAGATGCCTAAGCTCCTCCAAGTCAGGGGCCCTCTAATACGGCCTATAAACAAGGGGCCCAAGCAGCCGTTTTTCTCTTGATTTCTTTTCGTTTCTAACCGCAGGACCAAAGCGGTTGGAGTTTGTACGATGCTGAGCAGGTGGGCAAGACACGCGCCGACCCCTTCCAGCAGCGAAAGCAGAACCTGTAGCGGGATCGAAAACGTCCCCTAAAACTTCTCAAATTCAGGAGTTGCCGCTACATGGAAGTGGATGGCATTGCCCCGAAAGGACTACCATGTTCCTCCACAAACAAGTTTTTGTCCACTTCCATTATGATTCCAGGGAGTGTATTCAGACCGATATAGACCCGTGCGAAACCGCCTCTGTAGTTCTGTGGTTCCGCCGCCATGTCGGCTCCCAGTGCCCAGCGCGCGGCGTTTTCGCCAACGCGCGCCGGCCAAGGAGGGTGTCTTTGGGATCAGGGATGTGAAATGGATGGACCGAAGGTGATCGAATGGTGAGATGATTTGGAAGGCTCCGGCTCTCACAAGTTTTGACCGTTTGATCTACCTTGCTTCAATGGTGCAGCCTTTCAGGCCCAAGCAGTGCAAGATGGATTCCAACTACCAGTTGATTCAACTTCTCTATTAGGAGGCCATCGCTCTTAGGTTGGAGGCCATTGCTTCTATAGGTTGGAGGCCATCGCTATTAGGTTTGCTGCCCATGGCTATTAGGTTGAAAGCCATCGCTATCAGGTTGGAGGCCATCGCTATTAGGTTCGAGGCCATGGCTATTAGGTTGAAAGCCATCGCTATTAGGTTGGAGACCATCGCTACTAGGTTGGAGGTGATCGCTCTTGGAGGCCATCGCTCTTCGGTTGGAGGCCATCGCTAGTAGGTTCGAGGCCATCGCTCTTAGGTTGGAGGCCATCGCTACTAGGTTGGAGGCCATCGCTCTTAGGTTGGAGGCCATCGCTCTTTGGTTGGAGGCCATCGCTCTTAGGTTGGAGACCTTCGCTCTTTGGTTGGAGGCCATCGCTCTTTGGTTGGAGGCCATCGCTCTTAGGTTGGAGGCCATCCCTGCTCGGTTGGAGATCATCGCTATTAGGTTGGAGGCCATCAAAATGACATGTTTTCCCACCTGTGCGTGACGTTGTTCCCACCTGCCACACCACAGAGATGCCGTGAGGACACCTGCCCATGGCGCGGCGAATGATGTCGCAGTCCCCCGGGCCGGATGAGGCGGGCCTAGTCCCTGTGTCACGGTCCCCTCCGGCAGACCGGAGCTGTAAAACATGTGGCTGCAGGATCCGGGGCCACGCAAAAGGCAGGGAGCCCCAGAGGGAAAATCCTAAAGAGAAGAGGAAAGAAGAGGAAAATCCTAAAGATTTCCCTGAAAGAGGGGAAAGAAGACAAGAGAAGAAGAGGAAGAAAGAAGGGTCTGAAGAAAAGAAGAGAAGAAAGACATGAAGAAAGAAAGAGGAAAAGGTTGAAAAATGTTTCAGAATGGTTGAAGTTCTTAAAAGTTTGCCGATTTCCTGGCTTCAGTGTCTCCTAGGCTCTCTTATTGAGTAGAGGACCATGGTTTTAACCTGATGAATTCTTGAGAAGTCAGAATGTGCAAAGATCTAGAATTGCCCTCCAACCTAAGAGCGATGGCCTCCAACCTAGTAGCGATGGCCTCAAACCTACGAGCGATGGCATCCAACCTAGTAGCGATGGCCTCCGATGGCCTCCAACCTAGTAGCGATGGCCTCCAACCTACGAGCGATCGCATCCAACCTAGTAGCGATGGCCTGCAACATAAAAGCGATGGCCTCAAACCTAGTGGCGATGGCCTCCAACCTAAGGGCGATGGCCTCCAACCCCTAAACACTGCTTGATGAAGAACCCTAACAAATGCCCGCAGTTACAAACTGCCGCTGGGTGAGCAAATTCCGCCACCGGTGCGATCGTCGACTGAGGCGACGCCGCAGACGCTTGTCACAGTCGGGCTCGCCAGGCGAGGGGATGATCTGGATGGGCGGGTGATGGATCTTGGAAGGGGAACATCCACAAGACTCTTGAGGGGGAACTACAGGAAAGGTGCAGTAGTGGATTTTGGGGGGGCTTGGGTACCGGCTACAGCAGCAGAGTGCAGTTGTGGTTAAAAGTTTGGATTCAGCCATTTGATTGGCACTCGCCCGCACTTCGGATGCGTCAATGCTTTGTTGCACACAAAGGCTCAGGCGACAGGTGCCCAGTGCCCGATGGCCACGGCTACGGCTGGGGAAGCTTCATCGGCTATGAATGGCCCATGAGATCAAAAGATCAGTGACACAAAAAAGGAGGGCCTCCAACCCAATAGCGATGGCCTCCAACCTAATAGCGATGGCTCAACCTAGAAGCAATGGCCTCCAACCTAATAGCAATCGCTCAACCTAGAAGCAATGGCCTCCAACCTAATAGCGATGGCTCAACCTAGAAGCAATGGCCTCCAACCTAATAGCGATGGCCTCCAACCTAGAAGCAATGGCCTCCAACCCAATAGCGATGACCTCCAACCTAGAAGCAATGGCCTCCAACCTGATAGCGATGGCCTCCAACCTAGAAGCAATGGCCTCCAACCTGATAGCGATGGCCTCCAACCTAGAAGCAATGGCCTCCAACCTAATAGTGATGGCCCAACCTAGAAGCAATGGTCTCCAACCTAATAGCGATGGCTCAGCCTAGCAGCAATGGCCTCCAACATAGAAGCAATGGCCTCCAACCTAATAGCGATGGCCTCCAACCTAGAAGCAATGGCCTCCAACCTAATAGCGATGGCCTCCAACCTAGAAGCAATGGCCTCCAACCTAATAGCGATGGCCTCCAACCTAGAAGCAATGGCCTCCAACCTAATAGCGATGGCCTCCAACCTAGAAGCAACAAAAGATCAGTGAGGATGTGTTGAGACCATGATGTTCTTTTATGCTGCAGTGCAGCCAACCACGCTTAAACACGGATGATGCTTTTGAGGTCATTTGGCCGTTGGCAACCAGGTTGTCTAAAAAGAAGAAGTAGGAAGGAAAAACAGCTAATGTAAAAATAGAAGACTTAAGGGCAACAGGAAAAACGACGCGCAAGAAATTGTCCAAAGAAGATTAAAGAAGAAAAAAGGGATTTGGAAAGAAAGACATCAGCGAGAGATGTTCCTTCTGGAGCTAGACCCAGTCAAACCCATGGAAGGACCCGGCAATCCTTTCCAAACGCATCCAACGACCGCCACAGACCCAACCTTCGATCACCCTGGAGGTAACATGTCCGACCGGCGAATGTCGCCCTCTCCGGGAGCAGAAGAGGCACAACGGGTGGGCTTCGACTGAGCGGGCTTCGACCGAACGGGCTGGCCTTCCAAGCGTCCAGGATCCTGGGCCACGCAAAAGGTGGGGAGCCCAGTTTAAGTCTCAGTTTGAGACCTTGCATAGACCTTGTCTTTTTGTAGACCTTGTTTCTTTAGAACTTTAGACCGAGCAAATAAATACAGTTGACAAAACTGATGTCAGTGTGGATTTCTCCTCTTCAGCGCTGTTTCACCTCTTCAGCGCTTTGTCTTACCGATGGTTCGAAATCAGTTCCTCCACGGTTGACATCAATCCTGAAGGGAAGATAAGGTGGTTACAGTAGACAACTTTAGTCTTTTCCTTTGTCACCGCCTTTGATATGAGAAGTTTATCGAAATCCAAGTTATAAGTAGGTTGGAGGCCACCGCTCTTAGGTAAGAGGCCATTGCTAGCAGGTTTATAGAAATCCAACCTACATGATACCAAATGTTTGAGAAGCTCACATGATTCCTCGTCTTCTTGATGTGCCCAGGCGCCGGCGCCGGCGCGGCTTGTCCAACTGGGAGGAGGGCTCTGCTGGAGGTGCCCCACCACGGGGGGACGGGGGACGGGGCTTTTGGAGGTCGAAGCTGAGGAGGTGAGCTTTGACGGTCAAAAACCCTAATGGCAATGGCCTCCAATGTTCACCACAGCGATTTGGATCAGTGATGTTCGTGAAATTCATTGCTGGTTGTCCTCTTCTGGAGGATTCAACCCAATAGCAAAGTATATTACACCTTTCTTCCTGTTCTTTCTTTGTTTCTAAAAGCGATGGCCTCCAACCTAATTGCGATCATAAAATGGAGTCCTTTTTGATCCGTTTTGAAGGGCGACAACGTAGACTTGCGCTGTTCTAGCGAGCCACTGGCTTCATCTGGCTTCACCGTCAGGTAGTCGATCACCCAGCTACAACGGCCAGGGCCGTCAGATGGAGAAACGCGAAGAGAAAGAGCTTCTTGCTACTAGTAGTAAGGCCAGGAGCCCTTAGTGGCGTCCTTGCTCCTAGTGGCGATGCCAGGAGCCCCGATCGTAGCTTCTTTTTACACCGATCCACCTGACGAGTTACGAGATCGAATCTATCTCTCGTGCTATGGAGACAGACCGAAACGGAGTGGTGCTTGGAACGCTCCGCGGGTTCTTCTCGGATCAAGAAGGGGCAAGAGGAGAGTAGCGTTTGGAAGAAGAAAGAACAGTCTGAATATGTCCTTCGTTCGTCTCCCTTGGAGGCCATTGCTAAGTCTCCCGTCCGAGAGTCTCCGTATGATGTCATCTGAGGCATGAAAAGCCGCGGCTGGTGGGGCTGCTCAGCCTTTCAGGACCACCGAGTTCCTCGGTTTCTGCGTGGAATCCACGAGGCTCCGAGGAGACCAAGGATGACCGAGGTCTAAAAGACGAGGAAAACCAGCAGCACCTTTCGTCTAAAGCCCGGGGGGGGAGGTAGTAGTAGCTAGGTAGCTAGTACCTTTCTTAAGCTATACTAGTTAGGACTCAGGATAGCTCACTGTTCATTTGGTTCCTAAATTTTTAGGGAAACTTAAGTAGTTGAATTGGCGCTAATTGAAAGCAGAAGTTGTGTCTCCAGCAGCTCATGAAGTTTTTCCGGAATGCAATGAGTCACTCTCACCGATGCACTGAGCTACGAATCCTGACTTCTTTCCACCTTGCCATCAGTGTGCTAAATACTTTCAGCGTTCAGAATCCACAAACTACTACCCTCTACCCATTTTCGACCACTTCTACCCCTTTGCGCTCTTGGACCTGGGGGCGTCCCCAGGTCCGACGGCCGTAGCGGCACCCCGCGGCGGCGGCGGCGCCGGC